AAGTGCTCATGCCATTGTACAGAACACTGGTGAGACCTCACTTGGAGTATTGTACACAGTACTGGAGACCGTATTTTCAGAAGGATATTGATACCCTAGAGAGGGTTCAGAGAAGGGCTACTAAACTGGTTCATGGATTGCGGGATAAAACTTACCAGGAAAGGTTAAAGGATCTTAATATGTATAGCTTGGAGGAAAGACTAGATAGGGGGGATATGATAGAAACATTTAAATATATAAAGGGAATCAACACAGTAAAGGAGGAGACTATATTTAAAAGAAGAAAAACTACCACAACAAGAGGACATATGCTTAAATTAGAGGGACAAAGGTTTAAAAAATAATATCAGGAAGTATTACTTTACTGAGAGGGTAGTGGATGCATGGAATAGCCTTCCAGCTGAAGTGGTAGAGGTTAACACAGTAAAGGAGTTTAAGCATGCGTGGGATAGGCATAAGGCTATCCAAACTATAAGATAAGACTAGGGACTAATGAAAGTATTTAGAAAATTGGGGAGACTAGATGGGCCGAATGGTTCTTATCTGCCGTCACATTCTATGTTTCTATGTTTCTATTTACAGTGCATCAATACTATTAGTGAGGAAAAATAAGAAGGACACTCGGATATGTGATATTGTCCCATTTCTGTTTAAAAGAGCAGTTACCCGGGTGATTAAGATGGAAAAAAGCCCTGTAGCATGATGTTATAGCTTTTTTTTTTTTCAAAGACATGTTTAGGTTGCAATTGGGTCAGGGTAATTTTTTCCCACCTTGAGAGCCAGAGCCTTGAGATTGGCAGCATATCTTTTAATTAGGGTCTTTTGCCCATGTGGGTGAAGAAGACTAACTGGAGTCTCCGTGGAGATAGAATCAAGTCCTCCACCCACCCACTGAAGCTGTCTCCTTGGAGAAAATAGCAGGATTCCCTGGTGTGTTTAGCTACTATAAAGTGGTCTATACCAACTTGTATGGATGATATAGGTGTAACAGAGATCCAGACTGGCAGGGTTCGGAATAGGTATGGGAGCTTAAGAAGAATATTCCTCTTAACCATCATGATTCTGCCCAGCAAGGAGATATCCAATTTGCCATGTGATTAAATTGTTTTATATATTTTGACAGAGACTGCAAAAGCAACATTTTTTTAGAATACGCATGCCCAGATATACTATTAAATGTATTCGCAAGTCATATAGAAAATCCTTTTTCTGTTTTTGTACTATTTTGTCATAGAATCCCAAACATAGAATCTGTGATTTTGAGAAATTGATTTTATGTTATGAAATAGTGCTGGGATATCTCTGTATGTTTGGGTTACTTCTTACAGCAATAGCCAAAGATTCAAGTGTGAGACCATATAGTAAGGGAGACAAGGGATACCTCTGTCTGGATCCATTGGCTATGTACAAATTTGAGTATAGGAAATCAGAGTTCAACAGAGGAAGAGGGTCTGCTATATAACATTTGGATGGCTGCTATATATGCTGAGTGTAGGATAAAATGTTTCAAATTTGTGAACATGTATTGCCTATGTACCCAATCTAATGCTTTTTCAGCATCTAGGGAGATCAGTGAGCAGAGGGTGTAGGTGATCTGGGAATGGTACAGTATAATAAATAAAAAAAATCTCTATTGTTGTTAGATGGTTGCCTGTAGAAGACATAACCTACTTGGTCAGTATATAAAAGAAGGGTTAAAAGTGCTGCCAATCTGTTCGCCAGAAGCTTTGCATACATTTCGGTTTCCACATTCAGCAGTGAGATTGGGAGAAAGTTATGGCAAAAGGTTGTTTTTTTTCACCCCAGGTTTTGGTAATGTTACAATGTCGGTAATATAACAATGAGACGATGACTGAATTTGATTACAACAGCAAGTGAGATTTGGAACAATAATTTACTTAAATGTGGAGTAATATAAGCCATAGACCCAGTCTGGTCCAGGGCTTTAGTTTTTGGTGAGGCAAGAAATCACTTGTAGGACTTCCTCTTCCATAATAATACCATCAATAATGTGGGCTAAATGAATGGAGCTGCAATTTATCTAGGGAAGCGTTGGAGGTAAGAGTCGGTTCTATGATGTGTGGATATTAATTCTGACTAGTGTCTTTTACTCCAGGATGCAAATTGTATCAATTTGCCTCCGATCACTACTTTGTGAGCCAACCATAATGTTGTGGTTATTTCAGTGGTTGAGTTTTCTGTGAAATAATTAGTGATCTGGTCTCTGATTTCGGTGCAGAACTCAACATCTGCCAGAAGACTCATTCAGTCTCCACACCACTTTGCCTCGGGATTTTTGCTCCTCGGAAAGCATTAGAAAAATAGGATCAGGATGCATGACCAATACTGCATTTTGTAATGAGTTGTAGTGTGAACCTATCAATTACAAAGTTGTCTGTCCGCCATATCCCCTGTTTATGTAGCCTATTGTGATATGCGGGTTTGTGGGAAGTGGATGTGTCAACCACAGTGTCCGCTGTTGTGTTGAAGTCCCCGCATACTATCAGTTTTGTGTTTTCTCTTTATGTGTTTTGTTGAAAAGTCTCATGGGGTAAGATATTTGGCCTGTGTTAGGTGTATGAATGTTAATGATTGTATAAATGACTTGACTTTATTAAGCAAACATGTGAGAATTGGGTATCATGCCCTCCCATCTCAGCATTTTGAAGGATCAATGGAATGCTCTTATGCATTAGGGTTGAAACCCCCCCTATTTTGCAAGAGCCATTGAGTGGTATTCAATTGGATAGTCATGGGTTTGTAGCATGGGGTCCCTTAGCTTTGCTAAGTGTGTTTCCTGTACACAAATGATGTGTGCTTTAGCTTTGTGGGCGTCCCTGAAATAAATTGTGTTTAGGCCCTTAGCATTGATAGACATTAAATGAATACCCATCTTGAAAGTAAAAAATGGGAAAAGTGTCTACCCAATAGGACCTACCAAACCCAAGGAGGAAAGGATGTCTAGGGGCTTCAATCAGTCCCATCCCCGCACATCCCACATATTATTTTCATGCAGCAGATCGACAAACAGAAAGCAATGTAACTATATACAGAAAATGTAGATATATGGAACCATGATGGAAATTGATTACTACGGGCTAATAGAGCCAGTGTTCACACCATTAAAATGTTACATTGAGAGGAAGGAGGTCCACATAAGGTATGGAAAAATAGTATTACAGGAAGCACCCTATAATATATGCATGTTCAAGTGAGTGCAGCCCTAGCCATCCTTGGTTTAATTTATTTATATATTTGGGAGTCCAGGCCAACTCTGTGGTTTTCCACCCCTCCCTGTCACAGGTGCCTCACTCAAGGGCCCTATTTAGCCTTGACCTGCAGATAGTCCCAGGAGGAAATATTTCCCAAGTGGATTAATTTCATAAGAGCAGGCATTGGGCTGCTAGAGTAGGACCTGCCAAGATTGGGGTACATTGACGTTGTGGCAGGCTTATACAATGTATGATCATATAATGTAACTAAACCCCCATTATTTTTTTTGCATAGGGGAGGGTGTTTTTAAATAAACCTATTATAATCTGTGAGCCTTAAAATCTTTGTCTAGTGAATGAGCGAGTGTGCTGGATTGTGTATTTTGTGTGATTATATATATTCCCACACAGCAGTATACCAGCACCCCAAACATGTAATGTCACGAGATAAGATAGATCCCCATGATCTTATCATTTGTGTAATGCCACAGAAATCGAGATTAATCAGAAACTACAAAGTTTTTCCAGTCCTTATTCTTTCAGATATATGGATGTCATGCCCACTTTAAGGTACGATGCTTGTACAGTCACAGATGCCATGTTACCCAATCCCTTCACAGGTAATCCTAAATATCGATTTCCCCTGTTTAATATAATACTCTATTCACCTTCCATATGTTACTTACAGCTCAGAAAGATGGTTACATGATAGAATCACTGATAATTCAGAGCTTTGGATGGACTTTAAAGAGCAGGAATTTAACAATTTAATCAAAAAAAGGTAAAATAATCTCAAACAATATTGTGTGCACAGGGGATGAGGTGAAGGTTGCACAAATTGCCTGGATCAACATGCAATTACACCTACTTGCACCATCTACCACTATGCAAGAGGAATTATGAAAAAAAAAACGTATCTAACTGCTGATAAAATGTCAGGAGCTTGATCAGAAATGTATTTTTCAAACTCCTACATAGGCAGAATAAACAAGGTGATAATATATTTAAATGTATAGATAGGAACTGCTGTTTCCTCCTAATCTCAGAATTAAAGCAGAACAATTGGCAGATATTTGTTAAAAAGCATTGTATTCTGAAATGTGGAAAAAGGATATAAGTGTATAGTAATCCCCAATGGAATCGGTATACTGGATTCACTGGATACTACGGTGATAGCTCCACTTAGAGAACTTTTGACCACTGTTCAGATCACAACATTCTGATTCATCTAACAGTTGCTCTCCTTCTGTGAAGCAACAAAGTTTTCTCTTCTGGCAGTGTTTATGGCTTCCTTATTAGTTAATTAAGTAACCATGTGGAACTCTATACGCCAGAGACACAACTCTGTAGCAATAAGGTTGAACAACCAGTGGCAGTGATGTAACCTGTGTTTTCATTCACAATGTCACCTGGATGAGTCAAATCATTTTCCAGACCTGGAAACCCAATTAACAGTTGGAATGTCTCTGTTTAGACTGGGATTTTCTTGTCCAGACAATTCATTGGCCTTAAGAGAGAAAGGGAGTAGCTGAATCGACTGGTCCAAGGGAATTGGCAGACTGCCGTACCATCTGCCAGATTACTATGTCATGAATTAGAAATTGCTTTATACGAGACTCTTATGGGTTTCGGAGACCAAATTTCCACAAAGTAAAACACAAAATATATTTTGGTTAATTTCCCATAGTGGCAAAAACCATCCATGCTATGGAGTTTATTACTAGCAAAGCATTAAAAAACAAAAACAAAAAAACAACTGTGAATGGTCAAAAAAATTCCCAAATTTTAGCAGAAAATAGCAGAGCTTGTAAAACAGTACAGTTTGAGAATGTTTACAGTTTAATGCTAAATATGTGATGTCCTTGTCAACCTTTACAATAAATTTGCAGTTTACTGAATAAACCAACAATGATTTAATACAACCAAGGAGGTACATTCACTAAACAGTACATTTAAAATTCAGTTTGCAGAATTAAAAGGAACACTCTATACACCATAACCACTGCAGCACTCTGATGTAAGACGTCAAAACCGTTTGCTAATCTTTTACCAGCTTAGTTGAGATGGGCATTTAGAGCAATGCACAGAGTTTTCATTAGTTCTACTGAGCTAAACCCTGACCTTTGCAGGGTCAGCTCATTAGCAGAGAACATCAACTGATCACTCACAGCTAGTGATGTCCCGCACGGTTTGCTGAACACTCTACCCACACTCATTATTGGGGACAATTGACAAGATGATCGTATACATACGGCTAAAATAATGAAAATTGGAAAAGTTTGCCAAATTAGGTCAAAATCCTTTCCAATTTTCTTATTTTGACCTAAAGTTTGCAATGACCTTGTACATGCTCTGTAGTTCTCATTGATTAAGTCTAGATTTGGCATTAGGCCTGTTGTCTTTGCCCACGGCATTAGCTGAAGCTTGCCAAGATTCCCCCAAGCTGACCTCCCTCATCCAGACAGACCGCACTGTCCTCATTTACACACATGCAAACCCCGGAAAGAGGAATAGATATAGTGCTTTACACAGCAACCCCATTTTCAGCAGCTGTTTTAAGTTTATTTGTATCCAGACAGCAGCTTCTAGAAGGACGTCGGAGGTGATGAGTGTTCTGTGTCATGTGGAGTTAATTACTCTGTATGTAGGGCGACTTATTGTGCATGGGAAACTTGCAATTATCTTGTTTAGAAACTTTATTACAGTCAGTCAGTAGGTTATATAAGTCGAAGTAAATTGAATTCAATTGCTGGTAGTGTTTCCACTTAGTGTTCTACACACCTGTATTCTTCTGCTCCTATTTTATAGGTCGTCTCCCCCCACCTTGGTAAAAACCATTTGTTAACTTACCTCTTTCTAGCGAGGAGTCTTTCTCGTCTCGGCCTGGGTATCCTCCTCTTGCGAGGTCACTCCGATGGGGGAAACATAATGCACATGTGTGGAGAGCGCCCCACGTGAATTAAAGCTTCCTCATAGAAAAGCATTAATTCATGACTTCCTCTCTGGGATTTGAAGACACTGGACGTCCTAATGAAAAGCGTGAAGACGTCCAACGTTGGTTCACTAAGTTAAACTCAATGAGTTCCATGAGATGAAGTGGTCTGGGTGCGAAGAGCGTCCCTTTAACATGAACAATTGAACATCAACTTGGGATTCAATATATAGTAAATAAGAATTAGATCTACGTTACCTGCACCCATCTGTGTGCATATTCTTCAATGAGTCTTTGTGGATTTCTGATATGCAGTGCTCAATTTACAGCTACAGTCCAACAGAGTGACATCAGCGTGTGACATCATCGCTAGTGCTTTTAACCACTCCCACTCTGCTCACCTGTAATAAATGTTTAATTCTCTGTCTAATCATTGAGTAAAGGTTGATCTCCATTTCCCAAAGGTTTTCCTCTCCATGCATATGGAGGGTTAGTTCTAATCTAGGATCGATACACACCCCTTCTAGACAGTTTGCAATCGGCCTGATCCACATTAGCTGCTATGGATGTGCTCGGACAGAGTCCTTCCAATTCTAAAAAATAATAAACACTAAAAATGTAAGCAAAACAGGCAAACCTTTTCATAGATAAGACCTGTGTTTATATTGCTATGTAAGGAGGCACGATGTGTTGGGAAATGCAGTCTGGTGGAGACGTTTACAAAAAAATAAAATAAAAATTAACGTTTTTCCACACAGACACTGAAAATCTAGCAAGTTATTTGGACATGTATAACAATACAGAAGGAAACATTAATTCCAAAATCTAACGTAACAGACGATTCTATTTTTTTTTTTCCCCAACAGATTGACCATTTCCTACAATGAAGGTGTTGAAGATATATATTTTTTTCGGAGAAGCCAGGGAAACATTCACGCCGATCAGACGCGTCACAGTAATGATCTTGCGCCATTTTTAAAGGTTCAGTCGAACCAGATTATTCACTAAACTTCAAATTAGAGCAAATTAAAATCTAAATTGTGAGATTACCCATTTTTGGCTACATTTTAGTACTTGGCTTTTAGTTCACAATTTGTGGTTTCGAGAAAATCGGACGACCATTCAAAATAATTTTCAAACTTCAAAATCCAAACTGTAGCAAATTTCTTTTTACATATTCTTTTTCTCTAATCTTATTGTGGATGAAAAATAAGGACTTTATTTACTAAACAGTGAATTGTAATAAATTGCAAATCAAACTGCAAAACGGAGGCAAAAAAGTACTGAATTGGGAAAAACCCTCTAAACTCTGCTCTTTTTACAGTTCGGTTATTTGAGCCTAAATTTTGCTATAACATTTTCTATTCTTATTTATTGAATAAACCTTATTGTTTCCCTGGTGACAGGATACATAGTTTCAAGATTGGTGTGGGCAGTCCAGTTATGTAGAATAGCTCGCTTTGCATTCACATAATTATATGCCAAATTGGTATCTATGTAACTAATATGACTTACAAATATCCCCACTAAGGGAAGCAATACTACAATGCCAAGAATTTGGGCTGTGCATTTTAAGGAGCCAGAGCAGCACTTCAATGTCAGTGTAACATCTCTCCCCCCTCCTCGTACTGGTCAAAGAATGCGCTGAACCCAATTCATTTAATTAACCACACACAGAATCCTTATTGTGTGAGCTCAGCAGAGTGGCGTACAGAATTTTTCTCCCAATATTTAAAGTTAATGTATTAATTTTTAGCAGACAGACTGCCTACTTCTTCTAAAAACAAAGAGGGACAACGTACAACGACCGATTCTCCTTGCTTAAGTTCAAATAATGAACATTCGTGCATTTAATTTGTGATTAGAACTTTTTTTTTCTCTGATATACACTAAGGTCAGATTTGCATTTAATACACATTATTTACACTTATCCAATAACATTTCCTATCATTCTCAGATTAGAATTATTTTGAATCTTCGTAAGACTTTCTAAATGGTGAAGAAATACAGTTTGGGGGCATTTATCAAAGAGTTCCAGAACGTGAAGTGTGAATGACATTCTTTTGGTTGCATTTACGAACGTGATTCTGAAAAGTGACAGTTTTACCGTAAAATTTAGGGTAAAAAATATAAATAAAAAGAAGTTAAAAAGAACACTTTTCTGTCGTCAAAAATTGCAGTAAGTCTGATAAACCCAAAAACCGTCAAAGAATAAAAAATGTATGGTTAAAGTGCCAAGAAAAGGGGGGGAAAAGCCACAGATTAATAAAAACCTTAAATGTGTGTTCCCCATTCTGTGCCCTAGATGTGCCTGTCAATTTTATAATCATTAAGACCATTTTGTGAATAATGTGAATGTGTTCCATCATGATAGACAGTTTACACTGCTTCACATGTAAAATTTTGATACAATAGTTATTAAAATTAAATATCAAATTCATAATTAGATGTAATTAATAAGCATGGGAACGGGCTAAATGTGCCATAAAGATTTAGGGCAAGTTACCAGAGATGTTTCACGGTTTCATAATTTCCCTCTCTTTCCAAATGCAGTGTTATGTAAGCCCCCATTGAAAACCTGGTTTATTGTCACAATTTACAGACTTTTAGCTGTTTGCACTAAACAAATCAAACAAAAGCAATTGAAATTACTCAGCACAACAAATGCTTTGTGGTTTCCCTGAATTCAACTGAAAAAGCAATTTATAATGACTTCTCTAGTCTCAATTATTCAACCCCCTTAATATAATCCCTCACAATAGCACACATATGCAAAACAGGTGTTGTCTCAAGCAAACCTGATGCACCAAAGCAAGGGCTTCATTAGTCGCACCAGATATGCTTGAGCTGGGACACTTGAAATACCTGCACTGGCTAGGGGTTTGTGGAGTGTCACATTTGACTGCATGTTAACTCAAAAGAATAATCCACAAAGTTAAGAGATCATCTCCCTTCACAAACAAAGGAACATGATGAAAAAAACTGAATGTTACTAGAGACACCGTTGGAAGCATAGTTCACAAATTCAAAGCTGAAGGAACAGTGGCTAAACTACGTGGATGGGGCAGAAAAAGGAAGCCATCAATGGCTGCAACCAGATTTCTGAGAAGGCAGGTTGTGAAAAACCCTTGAATGACTGCTAAAGACCTTCAGCAAGACTTGGTGGAAACAGGCACTGAAGTTTCAGTGAGCACAGTAAGACGCACACTAAATGCAGAAGGTTTCCAAGAAGTACATCACTACTGACCCAAAAGCACAAGAAACGTCAGCTACAATATGCTCAAAAGCATATAAATAAACCACAGAAGGTTTGGGATTATGAAACTAAACTGGAACATTTCAACCCAATGGATCAGCAGTATGTGTGGAGGAAGAAGAATAAAGCAGAAACTGAATAGAACACTTTTGGCACCCAGACCACTTCAGTTCATGTGGTCTGGGTGTATAGTACCAGGCCAATGCCATGCATGCGCGTTAGGCCTTCCACTATGGCTGACGGCAGGTGAAGAGCAGAGCCTGAGCCACCACCGAGGGACCCAGGTAAGTGACAGAAAGGGTTTTTAACCTCTTCTGCACCACGGGGTTTCATTGGACCTTCCAACAAGACAAGGATCCCAAGCATACCTCAAGTTGCACCAAGGCTTGGTTGCAGAAGAAGTCATGTAAAATGCTACAGTGGACATCAGAGTTACCTGACTTGAAGTGCATAGAAAATATCTGGTACGATTTGAAGAAGGCGGTTGCAGAACGAAAACCCAAGAATGACCTGGAGGCCATTTTTCATGAGCAATGGGCTACGATTCATCAGGAACATTGCTAGAAGCCGGTGTCTTAGTATGCATCTCGTTTGCAGCAGGCCACAGCAGAAAAAGGGTGCCCTACTAAGTACTAAAGATGCTTGTCATGAAGGGGTTGAACAATTTTGAGACTGGAGAAGTCATTAAAAATTACAATTTAAATGAATTTGGGGAAACTACTTGAAGTATTCATTGTGTTGAGCAATTTAATTTTGTTTTGGTTTGGTTTGTTCATTGGAAACAGCTGAAAGTCTACGTTTTGACAATAAAACCAGATTAAAAATATTTTTGATTACAACAGCAACTTTAGTGTATAGTGTAAGATTCTCGGAGTTCGCTTCAAGGAGGGCAGATTTGCAAATACTGTCCCAGAAGTGTGGCTCCTATCAATCCCGGCCAGGCTGGGGCATGCACATCCCACTGAAGATTGATTAATCCTGCACCACTCAGAGTCCACCAATTATTTAATTTCTTTAATGAGCAAATAATGTATTCAGGTTCTTGAGATAGTGTATTGCATAGTGGGTCTAAGTACAGATATTGCCTGTCTTGGCAGATCTGCACACTGTAAGGCCCACATTGTCACTACTAGGGAGAAGCCACTACTAAAAAAAATGTTCTCTCCCAGCATAGTCAATATGGATTGATTTAATGAAGACAGCTGCTAAAAGCAATTCATTCCGGCAGTGTGAGTGGCATCCATCTGGTACTTGTATGTGATGGCATTGCTTTACAACTGATAGAACCCAGTCCTTAATCATATAAAATACAATTAAAAAATAAATAAATCATAATATAAGAACATAGAATGTTGAAGTGTATATTATTGCAAAACAACCCAGTCTTTAAGTTCTGGAGACCTTCTTTCATAGATATACACAGCATATAAAGGATTCTCGTTTTATTTTTCTACCAATGTATCAAGTACACAATCTGTCCTGTTTCACTAGCAATAAATAGATCTAAACACTGGGCATTGTCAGACAGAGATTTTATTTAATTGTTTGACTGCATAGTCACAGCAAATATTATTGCTAACCTGGAGATCTAATGCTGTAGCAGCAGACCGGAGTCACAGAACAAGCTGAACGAACACAGCATTCTAGAGCGTCTGTATATAGAACAGATCAGAATTACTCACCATTTCATGGGCTGGCTTTAACATCACCAAATTTCATATGATTACGGGTCAAACCACAGTATGTATATAAAATTAAATATGAGATAACAAAACGCAAAGTAAAACTGTGAGTCATTAAGTAGTTCTTCTGATAAAACTGTATAATTCAGGATTTAGTTCCATATGTAGAATAACTTTGTAGCCAACACAGTGGGAATTTCTGTTTGTGCGTCCATGTCTATCATTATGGGGATATACAACGTCAAGCGGCAGATCAAGTAAAGCATAAATCTAATCGAAAAAATGCAAGGATATTTATATTCAGAGAACAAATCGGCAAAACACGGAAATAAAAATAGAGTTTCTGGATTTGCGAAATATAACGAAAGGTAAAAAGAGGTCATTCGGTCTTTTTAACTCTCAATGTTTATTTCTCAAACTCTATTAGCAAAATTCAACCTGTAAGCCCCTGATTTGCCCTGGAAACCAACTCAAAAATTGTGCATCAAAATCATCAAAGAAAAGTTCCTGCTGAGTTCATGGAATGTCAGTATTATTCTTGAGAATCATACATTTTCCAGTAGGGGCATGAACTGGGGTTTTGTAAAAATGTCCCTTCATTAACATGCTCAGGGTCTCGAGCAAAGCAGAAGGTTGATTTGAGTGTGATTTCTTTTAATCTTGTCTATGTACATAGCTCATGTCAACTGCAGAGAATTGAGAGATCCGGCACAAGTTTACCTTCAACACCATCCGTCTAGACCTGAATAGTAATGACGGGCTGCGAGAGCTGGACACAGCTTAACCCAGCATTCACACCCTGTCATTACCAGGCAAGGCTGTGCAAATAACATGGCAGTGAGACTTCACTTTTTATCAGTGGCTGCAGAGGGATGTTTTTGGGTCCAGAGACACAGATTTGATCAAATTACGTGAAAACTGTTTGATACGATCTTGTTTTAGACCATTTTAGACCTGATCAATGGAAACTAGATTTCCAATAAACATAGAAACATAGAATGTGACGGCAGATAAGAACCATTCGGTCCATCTAGTCTGCCCAATTTTCTAAAAACTTTCATTAGTCCCTAGCCTTATCTTGTAGTTAGGATAGCCTTATGCCTATCCCATGCATGCTTAAACTCCTTTACTGTGTTAAATAACCTTCACAAGTTGAACTTAACCTTCCCTGAATTTCAAAAGATGAGTGGAAATCCAAGATTGTCTCTTTCGACTGACAAATGGCTCCACTACAGAGACCAGATTCCAATAGTAATTGAGATATGACACAGTAACACTTTAGAGAACACAAAGAATACCCTGGACATAATTGTGGCCAAACTATTATCAATGTCATTAAAAATAAGATGTTGCATTGTACTCCCATTTTCAATATAGAAGTATGGACTAATTGGATAGCAGCAATTGTGGACGTTTGTGTAACTGTGCACTCTCTCAACCGAGTGCAGCAACTCACAACGCCAAGTGTCACATACAGCAGACCTAAACTTCAAATTTATAATGCAATATCAGATGTATCAATTAAATTCTAAGACTATCTAAGGAAACCACATTCTAAATGCAAACCCATGATTATAAGTATGCATTAATTTTTCTATAAATCTTTCACATTAGATAATAAACCCAAACTTTAATAGTTATGAATGCAAATCTGATTTTCTCATCACATGATTAATTTCTCATCCATATCAAATGGGAAATTTATTTTGGGTATTTTTGTATCTGTTTTAGGGGTTTGTTGGGTGAAGTAGTTTTGTGCTAAGGATGACAAATCATTTTAAAACCAAAACCTCTATAGTTTAGATGATTACCAATTATTGTGTATTTAGAAAAAAAAAAAAAAAAACCAATTCTGCTTTCTTTAGATGTTCCTATCCTTGGAACGTAAAGCATTTCAAAAGTTTTGGATTGATGTCCTACAAAGACTAGTCATTTGCTGGAGCTTCATCATGGTCTTTTTTGGGGTTAATCATGACAACCAAGTGAACAGTTACTGCTCAAGTACAGACATTCCAAGACTAGAACAATACTTGCAACTCTTGGAGAAACTTGAAGTGCTTGTTACAAAAACGTCACATCATCCTGAGACTGCACCCACCTCCAATGAGCATCATATTCCAGATGAAGTTTATTATTTATTTTGTCCAAATCCACTTTGCCATTCTGACCTAGTTTTATTTTAGGACTTGTTTTTGAGGCCTCCTCTGAAAAATGTTTTGACTCCACACAGCGTTCATTATTTGCCTCTTGTTTGCCCAAAATTCCATTAGGAGTTTCACCCACATAACCTGCTTGTAGATGCCCAACCTTCTTGGTGATCCTACCTTTGTCACCAACATTTTGACTAGTGGCAGACATAGACATGTAATCTGCTCTAAAGAATTCCCTGTCTATTTTGGCTTTTTCACGTTCCCCTCTTGGATGCAGGGCAACTGTTGCAGTTAAGACATCTCTTTCTTGGCCAACTTTGTCCACATCTTTGTCAGGGATCATCAAGGGAAGTCCTTGGCGATGAGGAGTGGAGGTGACAGCAGGTTCACTGGTGCTCAGACTGTATTCATCCAGATCATCGGCAAGGGTGTCCAGATAGCTACCAATAGAGATGCTGTCCAGTTTATCAGCGGGATCCTGGAGACTATTCCAACTTCCCCGACGGGAGGTTTCCTGACTCTCTGCTAGACTGTACTGGCTGCTGGTCAAACTACTGCACCGACTGGTTAGGTTTCCCTTCTCCTCGAGGATCCATTTCACAGCCTCAATACCGTCATTAACAGCAAGCAGCTGATGAAGTATCTTGACGTCAATGGCTCTCAAGCAGGCCTGTAAAAAAGAAGCATATAACCCGATTAATAAACAGATGCACAGAAGATATTTTACACTAGCCTTTATTTAATATTTTGATACATTTAATTACCGTATATACTCGTGTATAAGTCCCTCTCTAGCATGTAAGCTCATCGAGCAGGGTCCTCAACCCCCTCTGTTCCTGTACGTCAGTGGTCTGATCTCAATTAGTCCACCCATTGTACAACGCTACGGAATTTGTTGGTGCTATATAAATAATAATATAATAATAATAATAATAATAATAAGTCAATCTCGTGTATAAGTCGAGTGCAGTTCTGTGACCAACAATTGTGAAATATGCTATGCCTCGTGGATAAGACGAGGGTAAAACTTGGGGCTATGAAATTCTGTGATTTTTATAACTTTGGCAGATTTTACCTAGGTAAGATCCTGGAACATAATCCTGTATATAATGCAGAGTGCGTGTTTGTATGAGTGTGTGTGTGTGTAAATAATGCACAGTGTGTGCAAATAATGCACAGTGTGTGTATTATATACACACACACACACACTCATACAAACACACACTCTGCATTATATACACACACACACTTTGTGTGTATATAATGCAGAGTGTGTGTGTTTGTGTGAATGCAGAGTGTGTGTGTGAACTGGGTGGGGGGAGGGCATTTTTATTATTATTATTTTTTTTTTAAATTATATATATTTATTTATTTTATTATTATTATTTTATTTAATATTTATTTTTGTCCCCCTTCCCTGCTTGTTACCTGGTCAGGGAGGGGGGGCTATCTTAATCCCTGGTGGTCCAGTGGGGAGCTGGCAGCAAGCTGTTACATACCTTTGTAGCAGCTCCGGTCAGCTCCCTTCACCTCTGTGCAGGAGCACGGAGCATTGCCACATTAACCCGTGGCAACGCTCTGACGGCCGCGGGTGACGCGAGATTTACACTGGGAGCTGACAGGGGAGCTGCACGGAGGTGAAGTGAGCTGACCGGAGCTGCTACAAAAAGGTATGTAACAGCTTGCTGCCAGCCCCCAACAAGACTGCCGGGCTTCTAATGAGCCCAGCGGTCCTGGTCTGTATTATGGCAATGTAAGGTGCCATTATACCAGGGGTCAAGTCCTGGGAAAAAAAGTGTGGGAACTCACCCAAGATCCACTCCCCCCCCCCTCCACCCCAAAAAAAATATATATTTCGCAGAAAATTCAGTGCAACATTTATTGTAAAGTGCCAGTTTACACAAACAACTGCAAAATTCACATGCAATAAACAAATATATATAGAACAGTTGAAATGAATTAAATTAGCTATGCAATAAACAAATGAATATAGAACAGTTCTAACAACTGTGATAAAGTGAATGGTGTTGTTTGGGAGGGAGTTAACTTGTTAGTCAAACTAACAGAATAATCACCACAATGGGTGATCTTTCCCTCGCAGGGAATTTCTAAAACAAATAGTGTATACAAACTAAACACACAGCCAATTAGAAAATATCCCACAAACTGGAATAACGTTGCCCTTGCCGTGCAAGATTATCAACTTTTCGAGATTTAGTATCATCTGCGCTGCGATGTGTGGTCAGCCATTTTGTGACGTATGGTAAAGGATCCCATAAATGCACTGGAGGCCCAATGAGACTTATAAACAAAAGAGAAGACAGGCGTTCAATGCCAAGCCCACTCCTAATGGGTGACATCACCAAATTCATTGTACTGAAGCCCCTTTCACAATCACCGGATGTCACTGGAAGACTGTTAACTGCTGTCACCACTGGTTTTAGATTTTCGGGAATCTCTGCACCACCATTATCAATGTAGTCTCTGAAACCTTCACATATGGATGCATAGCTGAGACGGAATCTTTTGCACAGCTGTTCCAGCTTCGCTTCACCTTCAAACCACGGACTGTCCACATTGATTGGCCAGCGCTGTGAATTTAGGATGTCAATTTCAGAGACAAGAGTTTCAAATTCACCTGACTGTGATGAAGCTGCAGGTCTGTTGCTCGCAGTTAAAGCAAAGAGTCTGGAGCGTAAATTATCCACCAAACTTTGATAAAATTGAGGGAGATTTATCCTCACTTGGCCTTTTGTACTCTCTGGATTGATGGTCACACCTTTGAAATTCCCTTTCTCCAGCGATTCCATTACTTCTTTCAGATGTTTGCCAGGCATGTCTTTCATTTTTTCAACGGCACGAACGGAGCGATTAATCAGCTGATAGGCTCGTGGAAGTGTGATGTCATCTCTTTGCAGTGCTTCAGATAACAGTCCCATTTCCTGAACAGCATCCGCAACCCCTGCAAGGTTTAACAAATAATCTACTGATGTCAAGACCTTGTTAAGGCCACTAAATACAGATTTCTGCTTACTGTTATTAGCTGAACTTAAGCTTGCTTTCTAGAAATGACTGTGTAGGGCAGGATATGACTCCCAAACTGCTCGTATAGCTCTCTGGCTTGAAGCAACCCATCTAACTGAAAAAACTTTTCCAATTTTAAGAATTTGTACTTCTAATTCTTTTGCACATTCTGAGAGCTCTGCCAGATTTTTTTGGTGACTGATGATACACAGCATACAACTTCTCAAAAAATGATGTTACATGATGAAGACCAGGAATAGAATCAATTGTATCTGAAATGCACAATTCAAGCCTATGACACAAGCAGTGCCATTTCACAATCTGTGGATATTTTTGACTGAGTCGTTCCAAAACACCCGACTTTCTTCCAAGCATTACACTTGCACCATCACTGCAAGCCCCAATCCAGTTCTCGGCAAGAAAGTCATTACTGAACCCAAATTTAGAAAGACAAGCTAGAAGAGTGGCTTCAATAGACTGTGCATCTGCTTTAGGCAAATCAAGCAAATCAAGAAAGAAAGTGACTGGGTCTTTTCCGTTAACAGAGGCACGAATATAAACTATTAACACTGAATGGGTAGAAACTGTTGTAGACTCATCAATATAAACAGAAATTTTTGGAGCCTGCTCAACAATTGCTTTGCAAAGCTTTTTTCTCATTTCACTAGCAATGCAATCTATTATTTGTGCTGCTGTGTACTCACTATGGAGAATACATCCTAGGTCAGCTCCATTTGCAACCTGCAAGCTGATAAGATCTCTGAAGTCTGTGAAAGGGCGATTTTTTTTCGCACAAAAGTAGGCAGTGCGAAATACCTTAGTAGTGGACGCAAACTTATGCTTCTGCTGTTCAGCAATATTGGATTGCAGAATCTCCTTTCTGGATACTGCTTGGATATCTCCTGCCTTTACATGTGCTTCTGAAATCTTATGTATGTGGATTTTTTTACGTAGTGAGGTCAACATATCTTTTTTTGTTTTGCCATATGGTGTAATTGTACCAGTGGTCCATTCTTTAGAAATGGATACACCCTGTGAAACAGACACTCCAAGGTGTTTAACCTCGCGACACACTTTGCACCCTAAAAGACCATTGTCTACAAACAGCCAAGGGTACTTTTTTTAAATTCTAGCCACTGATTCTGGTCCCAACATTCTGGAAGAATGTTATCACTGACATCGGCATCTTCAGCCACATCAGTAACCATGTCCACTACAGCCGATTCACTGACTGATGTAGTTTCTGCAGCGGACACCGCCTGCTGAAGCAAAGGCTCAGACTGAGTGGAGCAACTTGCAGAATCATCATGTGATTTTTTATTGGATGCCTTCGTGAAGAAATCCGTAATGCTGCTTTTTCATTTGCTCATTTCTGTACAAATAAAAACTATTTTAAAAAAATGGTGTAAAATCATTTTCTGATTAAAAAATAAAATTCTGATAAAAAGACCTCTTTAATTAAAGGACCACTATAGTGCCAGGAAAACATACTCGTTTTCCTGGCACTATAGTGCCCTGAGGGTGCCCCCACCCTCAGGGTCCCACTCCCGCCCGGCTCTGGAAGGGGGAAAAGGGTTTAAACTTGCCTTTTTCCAGCGCTGGGCGGAGAGCTCTCCTCCTTCTCTCCTCCTCCGTTCCGCGCCGTCGGCTTAATGCGCACGCATTCAGCCGGTCACATAGGAAAGCATTTACAATGCTTTCCTATGGACGCTGGTGTGCTCTCACTGTGAAAATCACAGTGAGAAGCACGCAAACGCCTCTAGTGGCTGTCAATGAGACAGCCGCTAGAGGCTTTGGGGGAAGGCTTAACCCATTAATAAACATAGCAGTTTCTCTGAAACTACTATGTTTATAAAAAAAATGGGTTAACCCTAGCTGGACCTGGCACCCAGACCACTTCATTAAGCTGAAGTGGTCTGGGTGCCTAGAGTGGTCATTTAAAGAATTCCCGATCGTTTTGTTATTACTTCTTATTGTGAAAAACTCTTTTGTCTCTGGTGGCAGTGGTGGGGGTGGCCCAGTGACTGTGAGGTGTAGGGTAAGGCACAAATCAGCCCAATTGTATGAAATAAAATGAATCATTATTCTAAAAATTATTTTTTAAAAAAATGATCTAACAATTAGTCTCATATATTGGTCTCCAGTCCAGTGGATGTGACACAGATCTCAGTTATTTTACATATGGTTTGTGATTCTGTTTGCCACCCTTTAGTGACTGTGTTTTTAAGCCCTTAAGGACTGAGCCAAATGTACACGTTGTGACCAAAACAAAATGTAAACAAAAACAGGAATTTGTGCAATATGTCTGTTCAGGTGTAATTCGCCTCTTCATATTATGTGCACCTACACTTATTATAGATCATTTTTTCAGGGGAAACAGGGCTTTCATTTAACAAATATTTAGGTATGAAACATAATTTAATATGAATAAAATATAAACAAATTTTAAAACAAATCTTCTACGTGACATTTTAACTGTGTCATAATACTGTTTGCTTTTACTGCAATAATACACACATATTTCAGCGATGTTTCACATGTAAAACAGTACCCCCATGTACAGGTTTTATGGTGTTTTGGGCAGTTACAGGGTCAAATATAGCATGTTAAATTTTTCAGTTTTTTCACATTGAAATTCACAGGAATAAGATTTACCCCCATGGTGGCATACCATTTGCAAAAGTAGACAACCCAAGGTATTGCAATGGGGTATGTCCAGTCTTTTTTAGTAACTGTGACTAAGTGGCTACTAAATAAGTCTGAACATACCACATACCTAGGGTTGTCTACTATTGCAAATGGTATGCCATCATGGGGGTAATTTTCATTCTTAAAAGGCAACATAACCAACCTGGCAAATTTCAATTAGAAAAAAACTGAAACGCAAGCCTTATATTTGACTCTGTAACTTTTGAAGACCCCATAAAACCTGTACATGAGTGGTACTGTTATACACGGGAGACTTCGATGAACACAAATATTAGTGTTTCAAAACAGTAAAATGTATTACAACAATTATATCATCCGTGTAAGTGCTATTTGTATGTGAAAAATGCAAAAAAAATTCACTTTCACTGGCGATATCATCACTGTAATACATTTTACTGTTTTGAAACACTAATATTTGTGTTCAGCAAAGTTTTCCGAGTAAAACAGTAACCCCCATGTACAGGTTTTAGGGTGTCTTGGAAAGTTACA